TTACAGATCGCAGCACGCAGTGAGCGGCGCAGATTCTGCAGCGTCGAGCAGGGCTCATAACCTGTTGAACCCGGGGAGCGAAAGCCTCTCCCACGGGTGGCAACGACAGCGGATAGCCTGAAACTCACCTAGAAGGGTTGGCTGATTGTAAGAGGCTTGTAAGAGCGATGAGAGGAGACGTTCGAGTGAACTGAACTGTAGATTGGGGGTACAGAGGTCCCCTATATATACTACTGTACATCTGTGGCTACGTAGTACTATACAGTACATTCCCAGGATGCACAGTCGCACAGAGAAGCAGTGCGTACACAGCAAAGCTGTGTGTGTACCACATGAGTAGTACAGCCTCGGTTATTGCAGTAACCGGCTGTGCCGTTCCATATCTTGTGACGGCTGTGTTAGGCAAGCTGTGTAAACCAGCGCCTGTTCAACAAAAGATGCCTAGGAGCGAGTATGCTCGGTCCTCCACCCTCGTTGTCCGCCGCTGAGCTACACTGAAGCTGTCAAGAGCTCTAGTGTGCAGCAGAGCTTCCTCAGGGATTCCCGTGATCTCCTCGACAATGTCGGAAAGGCTGTGCTTCGAGCCAATCACCTTCCAGTCCTTGGAGAGACACGTCACAGTCAGAGTAGCGATGAGCTCCTGGAGCGTCCAACCGCGCTCGTACCACCGGCTCCTACGGAATCTGGAAAGCCACGCGCGGGGGTCTTCATCGGAGGGGACGTCGGAGAGATAGGCGTAGCACACCTCCGCATAGGCGTACCACTGATACATCAAATTGATAGCCTCGGACAACTCTGAGCTGCTTGTCTTGTCAATACAGCCCGAGTTTATCCAGATGTACTGAAAGCTGCTGGCGCGGGCCACTGCGCATGCCTCCCGCACTTTCAGTGACAGTCTAGGGTCGTGCCAGATCGATGTGACGGGAAAACCAGTCTCGGATACAATCCGATCAGTGGGATGAGTGTGGGATGAAGATGTGTCGGCTGAGAGGGGTACCGTAGGAAGTCGTGATGAAGAGAACTCCTGTCCAGCGTTGGACCGAGCAGAGCGCTGCATGCGAATACGTGGTCGGTGAAGACTAGCGCTAGATGCGAAGCGACTGAGCGAGAGACCCATGTCTCGGCCTTTGTGCAGTATGTTACGCGCTACACCAACTGGGAGACTGGAGATGCATAAGCGGCCTTTGTGACCATACGAGGTCTGGATGTCAAGGATGTCTTGGTAGGTCTGCTCGACCTTGTCCCAGGTGTGCGACAGAATGGCGTATCTAGTTTCTCTGGGGTCCTTCTCCACGAATTGACCTGTTCGAGTGTCGAGCAACCGCATTGTTTTGCTACGTCTTTTAAAGCAGTTATTGCCAGGCCATTGCGCCCATCAATAGTGTTTTATGCAATCGGGCGTAGACACGTACCCATAGGCTGAAGACCGATGCGCTTATTGAGTTGTATGAAAGGACACTGGTACTGGCAGAGTGGGGCGCTAGGTTCTGGTCATGCCATGATGTTATTAGCTTACATCATTTGCCCAAACAATATTAGGAGAATTACCTCAAGGAAGCGGAGTCGTATAGGTCACCCCTGGGACGGTCTGTTCGTGACAACCCTCTATATATATGCCTGGAAGGGCGTCCTACGTACCCTACCTGTGGCTGTGGTTTTGCTCTGTGGCAGGTAGAAGACGGTGATATGACGGACAGCCTTACACCATAGCCCAGCGCACCGCATGTGGCAGGTTGGGTGATGCCATGTCTGTCAGATACACGACGGGCATTGGCCAATGCCGCGGTCCCAAACAGGACCGGAGACAGGCTTGGAAATGTACGCCAGTCACGGTCATGTCTCAAAGGGCGGCTCCGGACCCAAGCCAGCTGGCGATCTGATACCATAAAAAGGATATTGGCGCTCGCGATCCGCCAAAAAGGGATGATAAGCGCTGATGCTATATGCTTTGTCAGCCTCAATATTCCTTTCCGGGGTTTAGCGCCGGATGGCTCGGGTCCGGAGCCAGGCTTTGGGACATAACTTGTGACCAGGGATACATTCCCAGGCCATTTCTCTGTCCCGGTTTGGGTCCGGAGAATTGGCCAATGCCCGTCGTGATATGCGGCACCAGTAGCCCCGGCCACGCCTTGAGGCGGAATCGTGACGTCACGCATGGCACGCCATGTATAGCACTGTCACGCGCATTCTCCGAGTTTACAAGGCTGGGGCAGAGAGGGGGGACTCGGAGGACGCCCGGGGGAAGCGCAGCGGTTGCGGAAGGCGATTACAGAGCCCGGGCTGGCGTTGTTCTTACTGTAACTATGAGGCATGAGCTTGATAGGGGATCGAGAATGCCGATAGAACACTCACTGTCATATGCTTGCGGCGTATACTTAGCTGCAAGTGCAACGAGATTGACCGTCAGCGCTTGAGCCGGGAACTTGACGACAATCTGATAAGCAGTCGCGACGTGGAAAACCGACTGGCGCTGGTCAATGCGAGACTCGGTCCCAAAACATTTGTGAGATCTTGCAGAACACAAGATGATACGTAGGCATATTGAGTCAAATCTATCATACATGGGTGTCGAGTTCGCCTTGGGGGAAGCTGGCCTTCACAATATCTAAGCCCGCATAGCTGCAAACTCAGCAACGAACTCTTCCATCGCATTCAGGGCTTCGTGCAAGTGCGCATAGCTCAGCTGCTGCTTCCTGCTGCGCGCCAGAGACGTCGCCGTCCGGCAAGCATTCTTGATCTGTCTCCCGTTGATTTCGCGGTCTGCGAGCTTCCCGAGCATGTCCTCGGACACCTCTTCGTCTGCAATACCAGCCTTCTTGAGGAACGTACGCCATATCTGCGCCTTAGTAGGCGTTGTGAGCTCGTTGAAATGCAGTGCGACATGGATACGGGAGAGGAACGCCTCATCGAAGATGGTGATGCGATTCGTAGTGAGGAAGAGGATGCCACGGTAGTACTCGATGTGCCGGAGGAAGACGGCGACCATCGCGTTGCGCTGCATGTCGTGCAGCGAGCGCTGTTCGAGGAAGACGTCCGCTTCGTCAATAAGCACGATAGCGTTCCAGCACGTTGCGACATCGAAGATCCTCTCAAGCGTGTTGTCAAGGTCCGAAGGACTGATACCAAGGTCTCCGCTACCGACGACGTACAAGGGGCGCCGAATGTGCTCGCTGGTCGCCTCGGCGGACAAGGTTTTGCCCACACCCGGAGGGCCGAAGAGATTGATGACGAGACCTTGGCCCTTTCCACGGACGAAGTCGTCAAAGTTTGAATCAGAGTCGTGTGATTCAATCAGAGACCGCAGAAGGGTCTTCCGGTCGGACGGAAGAACCAGGGCTTCGAAAGTCTCCGGATTCCACGTGATCGGAGTTACGAGTTGTACATTGAACTCAACTACGTGGACGGCGAGGAGTGTTCAGCCTAATCTGAAAAAGACAGGATCGGAAGAACTTACGCCAGAATTTGTCCGCCAAGCTGAAGCCGTACAGGATAGGCGTAGCCAACAGAAGCTGGTCGTCAGTCAGTCCAAAGTCTGACTTCTCCACCTCATGGGTCCAGACCGTCCCTGCGGAAGACACCCTGTCAAACGATGCGCGCGCCTCATCAGAAGAGACAGAAAGTACCATTTTCCAAAGGCAGCTGACTGACAATCTGCTCCGTGTTCGGCTTGGGGACTGCGTAGTTGGGTTGAAGCCGGACGAAATTGCCTTTGTTGTAATGTGATGAGTGCTTTGTGTAACGTTATCCTTTTGTTTGTCGCACCTCTATCAGCCATGATCCGAGATGTGACCTTGGCAGATAGTTCGCTGTTAAGAAACAACTCATGAAGATCATAACGAACGCTACTCACATTATACCGAATATACGAGTCACCGACATGGCGGCCGGCCAGGCCGCGATAGTGGACGTGATACACCCCATTAAGCGAGGCCCACTTGCGGCCACGCTTGATCAGCGAAGCCCTTAGGCCCGCAGGGTCCGCGTGGTGTTGTATCGGGTACACGCTCAATCTGTTGATCTTGTGTGTGCCTCCAAACGCGCGGACGTAGATCGTGATATTGTACGTCCCGAACGCCCTACTCTTGTCTTGGAGTGGGGAGCTCTGCTCCTGATCTTCGTATCCGTCGTCACTCTCGTCGTCACGAGATGTGTCCTTCTGGGGATCCGCAGCCTCAATGCCCTCGCAGTTAAGGGCGTACCTCTCGTCGTTGTGCGTGTGAGTGAGGAGCCGGACGGCTCGCGGCTCGCCGGTTGCCCCATTGCGCGTGATGAGAATAGTCCCAGGGACGAGAATGCCGTACAAGAGCTCGTAAGTTACTTCGCCGTGCGCGGTGAGATTGGCCAGCTTGTGAAGGGTGGTGCGATAGTTCTGACGGAGCCATGCGAGGAGGGCGCCCAGAGTAGTATACGCTTGCTCTTCGTCGTCACTGCGCGTGATGGACTCAAGCGCCGCATGGTGCGCTTCTAATTTGGGGAAGAAGGCGACCAAAAGGTGAGGGTCGAGCTAAGTGAATCGCCCAGATGAGTCAACGAGTACTCAGGCACGCCAGATGTCCGCAGTGCGACCCACCTCCACCGGTTCGGCGTTCCACGACAGTCCGGGGATCTCACCGATGACCTCTTTGCATGCCTTGTGAAGGTGTGGACTTTTCACTACGATCTTGAATGTGATAGGCTGATCCTGATTCTGATTGTTCCTGCGCGTGACAGGGCCCCCGGGGAGTTTGCGCACTACGACGAAGCAGAACTCCTTCCAATCGTCCGAGCTCCCAGCTGAACTGGTCTGAGGCTGGACGGCTTCTGCGGGGACTTTGGAGTCAGTGTCCTTGTGCGTCCACGCCTTGTCATCGGCGTTCCAGTAGTGGTCGACGCATTTGATTGGGGGCATGTTGATCGAGCAGTAAGCAAGGATTCGTGGAGGGCGATGAAATTGGGCGACGATTTCGGAGATATATCTGGGGATGTCTAGCTTCATATATTGGTTACAATGACTCGCAGGACCGGGCCCGCTCTGACGCAGGAGGAGTCAGACACAGATGCTAGGACCTGCGGAGAAGCAAGACCGCCTCGTGTTACGCACATGAGCTATCAGGGGTGCAACTGCGGGCGCTAGAGGCAAAGTATAGGTGCGTGCTCACCATAGTAGGGAGGCGGGCATGAGCCTGAACACAGGGGATCAGAGCATCCAGAAGGTCCAAAGCACGCCAGATGAGGTACGCAAAGCGACATGGCCATCTCTGCACACCAAACAGTACAAATTGCGTCCACCGTAATCCGCCACGGAAATGCTCAGATGTTCACGGAGCCAATGAGGGTACAAGCATTCCTCACGACAAGACCATCGCCCTGAAGCCCTGGAACTCATTTAGGTAGCTACGCGAGCATGTTTTCCCCCCATAGCATGAGTTTCATGGACAGATTGCGCCCGACGAATGGAGAAGACGATCGATGGTACTCCCTGCTCATGTGCTGAGGACAAGAGGGATGACCTACACGCATACGCGATGAATGTATTCGATGTCGGCGTAGCGCATTCTGGGCCCTGACCTGAACATATTACCACAGTTTGCTGTCTGACCGTTCAGCCTGTGACGATTCAGTTACGGAGTCACGTACGTTGCTGCCACTCACTTGGAGCATCAGTAGACAAGGCAGGAAGCGGGAGGGTGAACATATGTCTGGATGTGGTACGGGAGTCGTGCACGGGAGAACCTTCTGCTAGGCCGACGTCGTATATGAAGCCTGATAATTCCACACATATCGGTGCTGGCCGATAAGAATGTGTAGCAAGTGCACGTTCTGCATCTTATAGATCATAGCAGAGCAAAGCCGACCACAAGGAGTGAGCCATGGTCCGAGTCACCATGATGTCGTTCGGTCGAAAACTGCTGGTGTCGATTGGCTCGGCGCTCCTGTGATGTCACGCTCTTTTCCGGGAAAGGGAAGCCATATGAGTATGTTACTTGTGACAATGGCACACCCAACCGTGACTTCGGGGCCTCGAGCTTCTTAGCTAGTCACCGCCAACCTCAGCACTGGGCCAAATCCTAAATGGCCCGCGCATCACATCGTTGAATCTTTGTTATGAGTAGAAATGTCTTCCAACAAGCTCAGGAAGCCTCGTCATGGTGACCTTTTTTCTTCCGTTTCCAACTGTTCTTCGAAGTCCCACTTAAGAGCTCGACTTATAGAAAGCAGGACCATGGCTCTCGCACGTCAGATGGTTGGGTCGGCTGACAACAACAACCGGATTACCTCTCACGGGGGCATAGCTTCCTGGGATGAGCACCTGATTGAGGTACGCTCTACAACGGCCCTCTCGCACAAGAGCCCCGTTGGTTACCGAGGACGTATGCGGTCCGCGGACTCCCCGCCCCAAACCTCGATTCAAGACTACCTCAGCGCACTGCTCCATCCTGTGTCTGCCATAGAGCAATACTGGGCCATGCGAGCGGCAAGAGCAGAAGCCTTGCTCAACGCCCACGAGAGATACAAGCGAGAGCTCGATGATGTATCCGTGTCTCATGAACAAAGGCGATCGGTAAGTGCTGCCGCGAGCTTTCCGTTCGTAGGACGCATGTTTGCTGACCTTGACGACTCTCCCAGCGCGAATTTGCAGAGCTCAATGCTAGATATGCCCGAGAATACGCGCATGTCACACGTATGGTCGTGAGTGCGCTGCCCTTCCTCGCACGCAGCACGCATAGACAGCTTGACTCTCGCTCGCCTTTCGCATAGTGGATTTGCCTTGGAGCATTGACGATAACCGTCTGCGTGCTCTTCTATGTCGTCTTTCGATATGCACCACGGGTTTCTTCAGATCCTAGTCGCTCCAGTGCAGTCCACTACACAATCCCGATCCTATCGCCGTTTTCTTCAGTCGTAAGTGAACGGTTGAACGTCTTCATCTCGCCCATCACACAAATAACTTTCCTCCTAAAGATTGAACACGAGACATCTGCAGTGAATGTGCCACTCGTTGCCGTCCTACTCATCATAATGGGTCTCTTCGGCTTTCTTTGGTTTCGGTGTTGTGCACCACGCAAATGACTGGTCACCAATCCCTCCAGGTTTATTCACGCTTCCTCAGGTTGTTGGACTACTTTCCCAACATAAACATGCTGTGTAGCTGCGTCGGAATCTGTAATAACTCAATGGGACATCAGGATTGCCACCACGTAGACTTCGGACTATCATGACAACTATAGGATATCTCGACTACATTATCGACCATTTCTGGTAGCTCTTCTAGACGGCGACTCGGAGGTGCGCTATTGATTCTGCTTCTAGTACTTAATCACTCTCCCAGGCTAATTGCTGTTCTGCCACCTGCAACGAGTCGCTTCTCTCGAGCCCACACGTCTATCCGCTATACAGGATACTCTTACCCTGGACATACATCTCGCGTGCGCAACGAGCTCTTCCGAGTTGTCTCCTAGTCAGCTAAGCAGATTAGCCTTGTCCATGTTTAGGACGTTCGAAGAGGGCGTGGAGGCGTCGCCCTTGCATATTCATGGATTGCTGAGAGGGTTGGGCGACTTCGTCGACGACATGACAGCATAGGCCTGCACATATGCTCATAGTGAACCAGCAAGTACCAGGAATATCCTGCACTTGACTGCAGCCGAACGTACACACCACTCACATTTTGATAGGCAATACTATTCAGGACGACCGATAGACCATAGGGACCAGCCTGACTATAATGTGCAGCCAGAACGGCGAGGAGACAGAACAGCAATGCCGACACGTGATAGCGAAAACATGGTGTCTAGCAGATAACAGTGGTGAGACAGGAAGCAGAGCATATGTACACGACAGCGACAATATTGTAGGACTAGGCATAGCGGAAAATTGGAGGGAAATGAGACAAGTACGAGGACGACGGGAACGGAAACCTGAGCTGAAGCAATAGAACTTGGAATAACAGACACGGCAAGATACTAGTACAAGAGATCGCGCCCTCGGAAGTCAAATCCAAAGTGCGACGGAAGTCTAAAACAAGATCGTTTCACGTCCTCACCGGCGAACGGGGGCACCCGGCGGCCCAGGCAGCTCATGCTGGATGAACGACGTCCACGTCTCCGTCAAGCTGTACGGTGCGCCCGGCTGCACGTTGTACGGCGCCGCAGACGGTGCTGGAAGTTGCTGCTGCTGCTGAGGCTGGTGATACGTCGCTTGCTGCTGGCTGTACGCATACTGCGCGCCCTGTGTGTACGACTGCTGGTGCTGGTGCTGGTGCTGGTGATGCCCGCCATGGTGCATCTGGCCCGTATGGTGAGGTTGGATAGACGAACCCGTATATTGAGGCTGGATAGCGGGACCTGTGTGCTGGGGCTGGATTGTCTGCCCAGTATGCTGAGGTTGGAGCGTCTGGCCCGTATGCTGGGGCTGCAGGCTCTGTCCTGTATGCTGGGGCTGCAGGCCATGGCCCGTATGCTGAGGCTGCAGCGGCTGGGGCGCAGGCGCACCGGGATGATACTGCCGATAATGGCCCTGATGCGATGGTGGATGCATATGCGGGACATGCGCGTGCTCCGGGATCGTTTCGTACATCGGCGACGTCGGGTGTGCCATGTCGCTATCAGGCGGCGCAGCGCTCACGGACCACAGCTCGGACTGTTGGTCAGGCATCGCGTGTGTAGCATATGCAGCATAGGGCGACACCGATTGTGACGACGAGGACGAGGACGCCGTCGTGGCTGTGACGGGCACGGGCACGGGCACATAAGCGTTCTGATACTGCGTGACGGCGGGGTCCTTCGAGTACGCGCCGCCGTATAGCGGGAGACTATGCGGGTCGCTGGCCACCTGGTGATGATAGGCGGCATACTCCTGCGTGTGGTGATACTCGGGTGTGTGCTGCTCGGTCTGTGGCTGAGGATACGCGAATGCCTGACCCTGCGACCCGTGCACACCAGGCTGAGAAGTGGAGAAGCTCTGCTGCTGGGTGTCCATTGGCATCGCATTTTGGTACCACGCCATCTGTTGCTGTTGCGGAGGCGGCAGCTGCTGAGTCTGCAGCTGCTGAGGCTGCTGGGGCTGGTGCTGCTCTGCATACAAATGTTGCTGCTGCTGTTGCTCTACCAGCGACGGCTCCACATGATAGAACGCGTTCGCATGGCTGATCTGCGCCTCGAGCTGGCCCTCGAACGACCTCAGCTCCTCGACCAAGCTCGGATGCACGGCCGTGCGATATGACGAGTCCAAGCCGGGGAACACGTCCGCCGGCGACTGCGAGCCCCTCGCGTTCGGGTCCGACCCCGACCCCGATCCGAGGGGGCTCGACGTGTCGGACGGGGTCGTCGAGCTCGCCGCGGTCGACGACGCCGACATGCCCGGGGAGACGCGCTGCGGACGGTTCGACTTTGTCGCGACGGTGCGCGCGGTGCGCCCGCTGAAGATCGAAAGCTCGTCCTGCTCGTTCTCGGCCGAGCGCGGGGCGAAGATGTCGGGGCGGAGCGGTTGGAGACCCTGGAAGTGCGCCGCCTGCGCCTTCTCGAGCACCTTCCGGAGCTGGGGCTGCGTGGGCGGGGAAGCACGACGATGAGAACTCCGATCGGAGGCGAACAAGCGACGGAGACGGGAAACGCACCACGAACTTGGTCGCTCGGCCACCCTGCTGCGCCGCCCGCTCGAAGAGGTCGCACGCGATGCGCAGCTCGGCGAGGGCCGCCTGGGCTGTCTTCGTTGGGCCACTGTGTGTCACGACGGAGCCGAGCATGATCTTGAGAGGTTCGTCAGCCGATGGCGATGTGAGCATATTTTCGATTGAATACTCACGCATGCAGAGAACGCGTGTGTCCATATTACCCAGAAGCGCGCTATGACGGTAGGGAAAAGGGAGAACTGCTCGCGGACAGAGCTGAGCAGCGCAGTCGCGCTGCGGTATCCTGCGAGGAACGAGGGAGCATACTGGCTCCGCATCGGGTCATTCGGGTGGTCGTTCACTGCAGCAGCGAAGAACACCCTATGCACGTATAGCAGAGCTGGAATCGGAGTACCCTGTCAGTTCAACTGTTCACGAATGAAAAAATGATCGAGATAAGCGCAACGGACTGAAGTGGAGGTAGTTGGTAGGCATGTAATGAGACATCATCTGCGCCAGTCCGGCATTTTGCGGGCGGGGTCCTTGGGCGTATTTCGGGAGGGGCATGTCGCGTATACGCCGGTCGAGCTCCAGGATCACGGAATACTTTGGGGGCGCGGCTTTCAGCACGCCCATCACGACGGCCGCCACACACTCCTTGCCCCATCGCGCCTTCCACGCAGGGACTGTCACGAGATCTTCAGCGACTCAATATACACGCATACAGAGTGGAGTACCCACAGCTGGGTTGAGGAGTACCGTCGTCCGCGAGCGTCTCTTCTGGGTCCGCAGGAAGTTCAGTGTCGACGAAGCCTAACTCGAACGTCGGCAGCCGTCCCGTCGCCAGTGCCTATATGCGCACCTAGTCAACATTGCACCACATCCCATACACGTTCCGAAGCAACGCTCACCTGCCAACAGTCGGTGATGAACAGCTCCCAGAAGAGCGCGCGACGCTTCTGCGTCTCTGCCGAGGACAGCTTGAACCGCGCGCAGTCGCGATCTGCACTCGACGATCAGCCCTGTTCATCATCGAACACCATTCACGGTTGTGGAGATTAGACGTACGAAGTCCGGTCTATATCCATACGATCGACGGCACGTCAGCGTCAGTTTCAAATCGGGGTCACTCATCATCGACGTCGCCGACAAGATGCCAGGGGAAGCACTCACGCCTTGTGCGAGCTTGGAAGCCAGGCCCATGAGCGCCCAAGTGCTCTCGATGCTGCGGTCTTCGGCGACCATGCCCTGCTCGTCCAGCACGCCGCGCCGTCAATTCCAACTGCACATACTGAGATCTCACAGCAGTAAAGCGTTGCACACACCATGTAGATCCCCATCAAGCTCAGCACCTGAACCGTCGCCACGCTCGGTGGCCTGTCCAACACCGGCTCTAAGCTCAGCGCCGCCTTCGTCAGCTGGTAGTACCTCTCCGCCTCCCGGTTGTGCGGCGCCGGGGGCAGCGTCGCGTCCGTGAGCGCCCCGAAGCAGAACACCACAAACATGAGAGCGAGCTCGTGCGACGACGCGTGGGGCGTCGCGGCGCCCGTCTGCGGCAAGTTGAACGCATCAGGGGACGCGCCGAGTCGCCCGCCGCGAAGGTTGTGAAGCTCTTCTTGGGCCTCCTCGTAGAAGAGCGGGAAGACTTCCTCGTAGAGCTGGCGCTGCGTGACTGCGCCGAAGAACCAGGGAGCTTGGTCGAGGTAGAGCTCCCGGAGCTGGACCGCGCGGTGCCATGGGGGGAGGTAGCCAGAGATGAGGTCTTGGAGGTCGTAGATGGGAACTTCGGGAGGGCCGTGCGGGAACGTTGATGCGAGGCGGTTGATTTCGGGGGGAAGGTCGGGGTTACCTGGGGAGGGGCGAGAGAGGGTGGAGATGGACAATTGGGGTTTGTCATCCTAGCACACGAGTCAGCATGCGGTTCACATTTCCGATCACATATTGCTCGTATGGTCAATTAGGCTGTTAACGTTCGGCGATGACATTGTCATCATGCTCTCAAACCGGCCAATTCGCTCGAAGATATCTTACTCGTAGCGGCCATCTATTTACTACGGTATGCTTATCGAAGTAGCGCGAATGGATGGACACGGATCGGGTCAACCTACCTCGGGTCCGGGTATGTACCCTTGTGCGATCACAATGGCTACCTACTTGTCACTAGGGATGCTGTGTACACACAGAACTCTTGACAGTGTCCCTGGCGACAAGCAGATAGTCATGCAGGGCCCCCTGACCTTTGACCCCTGACCTTTGACCCCGTACCCGACCTACTCGGGTACGTACCCACACGTGTACGGGTCCGGGTCAGGCTGAGATGCGCACGGGTCGACCCGTGTCTATCCCAAGTAGTGCGCGTCCCTTGCTCCTCCACCGGAGCCCAGAGCAGGATCGAAAGGGGGTGGCATCAATGACGGCGTTACCAATCTAACCTCTTTTCTCTAACCTCGTTTCATGCCAACAACGCTAGAAGATGTTCGAAAGGTAAGATAGAATCACTCACAATCAATAGACTCTGTACAGGCGAACGCCAAGGAGCGGATTCAAACGAGCGCGGACGCGCAGGGCTATCTTCAGCGACCGATAACGCCACACACTTCGCGGGAGAACACACGCACCTCGGAACCCGCAGAGCGGCCGTAGAAGGTCGCGGCGCCGTCGTCGCGCACCGCCAGCGTCCCAAACGCGTCGATGTACGCCGGCTCCTCTTCCTCCTCTTCTCCTCCTCCGCCTCCACCACCGCCCCCTCGTCCTGTACCCGATAACCCCTCGCGCTCTCGCTGCAGCTCGAGCTCGGACGCAGCGTGAAGCTCGAGCCCGGACTTGATCTTCAGCAGGTCGTTTGCGAGGAGGGGATGTGGTTCGCGCGTCACGCTCGACTGGAGGATCGCGAGGCCGTCTTCGAGCTGACGGATCCGATCGCTCATCTCCGCGATTTTGCGATGCAGACGGTCCGTGTCGGCGAGGATGAACCTGGCGGGGGCAGAGCGGGGACATGAGTAAGTGTAAGGAAGGCAGTCGCGACACGAGGCGTGCTCGCAGCAGTCGTAGTCGTGGCAGTGTTTTCGAGCAGAGAACAGTCGATGAAAGGAGGAGGCGGGACGTCACCGCCTGCCCGTTTTTCTCGGAGACTTTTGTTCGAAAGCTACTTTATCACGAATCCTCGTGTATCTCCTTTTCGACTCTTGTCAAAAGTAACGGAATGCCTGCCGTGAATTGTATTACGGCCGTGTGACGATAAGACGGCGCTGGGGGCTACGAGGTAAATGGAGCACATGATGAAATATGGACGAGGTCCGGGAGGGCTAGGCCGGGAGAGAAGACAGGAAGGTGGACGCACCTCGTGCCCTGGCCTGTGGTGAGGGAGCCATTGGGGCAGATGGAGGCGCACCCTCGCCGCTTGCAGGAGGAGCAAGGGACGGTCTTGTCGCACTTGAGCTTGAGACGGCGGCATTCTGCGCAAGATATCGCACCTCTGGCGCGCTTGAGCTCCTGTTCCTGGGACCTTACCGTACGCTCCTTGTTCTCGCCGTCCTGGCGGGGGCGGGCGGAGAGCGGCATAGTTGGGCGGTAGGCTGAGCAGCCTTTGGCGGCAGCAGAGACAGCCCAGGGAGAATAAAGGGGCGAGCGGCGAGAGAGAGAATGGGGACGTCGGAGGCGGTCAAGGGCGTCGTCGATGTGTGGACAGACAGCAGGGCGTCCGATACATGGCAGTCGAAGGAGAAGGAGAGGGCGAGGACAGTGCCGGACTGGGTGGACATCACTACTCGCAGCGGATCTCTCCCAGGCCCTGACCCTTATTTGGCACGCGCTTAGCCACACTCTCCCACGCGCGACCCCATTCGCCTCCGGTCGGCACTACTCCCCATTCATCGCACGTTAACGTCTCGCGGTAGCTGACAGCGTCCATAATGTTGCCGTACGTGCAACAGACACAACACGCCGTGCGCAGCCGCAGCCACTATCCAAGCTGGAGTTAGGTGGAAAAGCTCTATTTCTGTATATGTAGTCTACTACTACCCTAGCCCCTAATATACGAAGTGTGTAATCGCAGAGTCGGGTAAGCGACGCTAAGTAGAGTCCTATTCTTAGTTCCCAGTAGCCCCTACAACAAACTTCTTTCCTTGCGTACTGTAGATCGACCACCATCCAGATGTTCTCTACTATTCATCCAGTTTTCGATGCGTACAAAACGAGTCTACTCAAGGGCTTTGCAGGATGTATAGACTTGAGCCTTGCCCTTCGCCGAACTCCTGCTGGAGGGCGCTCCAGTTACAACTTACAATCGACGCGCAATTATCCGACTACGTAGCTGCATACACAGAGCTTGGCGAGCTTCCCCGTCAATCGACTGCGTGAATAAGTGGTAACACAGCCTGCTACGTAGCCAGTTGCGTGGAATCGTGAACGTTCTCGCATATCTAGTACAGTCATTTACCGGTCCTCGGGACGTTGCGCGTTTTCTCACCCTCCCTCTTACCTACTGCCTCAGGTCTTTGTATATACCTATATAGACTACTTGCAGCTCACCTCTCCTCAATTTCATCAGAGGCGACCCAAAAGTGAAGTCACCAGCCCATTGTCTGTATGAGATTTACATGAAAACCAAATCTGGGACTGATTCGCGCCCAAGTCTATACTCACCGTGCTCATTGGCGTGCCCCAGTTTGGTTGTTCAATAAGGCGACATATATCTCCTTCTCTCAGCAACCTCATATGGTGAGATTTTGACACCGAACCCAGATAGTCATCGAAACAGTGTGGAAGGATAGTAGGCGTGTTCAATCCTTGTCGCTCGCTCATTTCCTCGCGCGCCTACCGGGCGTCTGCCTACCTGGATTCAAGGTCAGATCAAGCGCCTGTAGCACAGCGAGCAGAGGTGCGCAGGCAGCGGGTGCAACACGACCGCATGAGCGTCGCGAGCTGGGACTGAGGAGCGACGCGAAAGCTTAACGATTTGAAAGATAGAGAGCTCCATGACTCGAGACGCGGAGTCGTCCCGCAAGGTTTTGAGTCCAATTGCCATCAGGCTTACAGTGGCAACCCCAGGTGGCCAGTGAACCGTGTCGTGCCGAATCTGGTTCCGATTTGGGCGCATTGTGTACAATTATTCTCGGTCAACAAGTCTATCACGACTGCCGACGTCTCCATCCACTTTCTGGACAGATTTTC